AAAATACTTATTGTGCATAAAGTGCAGATCTTAACCTAAGTATTTATCTGTTTAATTATTTTAAAACTTAAATATTTTCTAAATTTCAGGTCAAAACAAACAAACGAAATGAGAATAAAATTCAAAATAAATATTTATACCGAGTAATAACCAAAATATAAAAAAAAAACATAGCAAGAGAAAAATGGAAGATAAATAGATTGACACGTGAACGTAAACTTCTCATAACTGGAAGATAAACAGGATTGACACGTGAACGTAAACTTCTCATAACCATAATTAATTTTTAAATTTTTAAATCATGATATAAAATTGAGTTAATTTTTAATTTGTTAACTTTTAATTTTTTTTTTTAATTTTTTAAATCATTATGGTTATGTTAAATCATGACAATAATTAATTTTAAATTGTTTATTTGTATTCAAAAAACTTTAAATATTGCTTTTAAAAATAATTTTAAATTTAACATAATTTTTTAGAAAATTATTTTTAAAAAATATAATTTTTTAAAAATATAATTTTCTAATATTATTAGACAAATAAATAAATTATATTAAATTAGTTTAGAACCTTATATATTTTAATTGCAAATATTTTACCAATTGCTTCTTTAAAAACATTAGGGAACTTGCTATACTCTACCAATCAAGCCCAGTGACACTCCATTTATTTTCCATCACTCGAACACTGAAAAGTAAAAAGATATATGAAATCAGATCCATTAAATTCTAAGATTTGATTTACATTTCTAATTAAAGTTGTTTTTGATTATACGTATAGATAATTATATAAAAATTCCAAAATTCTAAAATTTCAAATACATACAAAAACAATCATATGTAAATTTTAAATTTGTGAATATTAAAATTTTATATTTTAATTACATATATTCACCCTGCGCAAGGCGCAGGTCTTATCCTAGTATACCATTAATGGGAAGGAGGAGAGAATTAAGTTTCAGAATAGCAACTGCCATATTAAGAAAGAGCCCTTATTTATTTTATGTTTCAAAATAAAAGAAGGAATAAATTTGAATCAGAGTTTTAATTTTTAATTTCTGAAGAATATGTTCATATATGAGCGAAGTGAATGTGTATAATCATTATATATTTCTATAAAGTTCTTTCTTTTGTATGGTAGATGCCTATACGCCCTACATCATCCACATATAACTTAATTTACTTCGAGATAGATGTTATACTATTCAGGGAGAAGCAAAGTGGTAACACCAAGTGTCATCCTTGACTGTATATTATATAACTTTACTCCATTAATTGGACAAAATAAAAAAAAAATGTAGTACTTTCTAGGTCTAGTTTCCCACTCAGGAGAGGATGACGACCCCAATAATACGCAAAACTTCCCACATTCCAATAATTATATAAACCCTTATAATATATTTTAAATTAATTTTTATATATGCCAAAAGAGTTTGGTATATTTTCATATAAAATCATTGTGTGAAGGAAAGTCATAACAAAAGCCCATTTAAAACAAAAAAGCCCATTTAAAGTTTCTGGAAGGTAAGGGTAAAAAAGAAATTGAGATACAAAGTAAGGTCCTTTATCAAATAAAAAAAAATATCCTTTTAAAATAAACAGAGCATAAAGTGACACTCTTTTTGTCATTACCTTTCTCGTCTCTGTCTCTTCGTCGTGATTAGCCTTAAGAGAATCATCCATCATCCTCCACCTCAACAACTCCTCCATTCCCAAGAAGTAGATTCTCGCGTGGAGTTCAGTTTCTTCTTCTTCTTCGAGCTCTCTCTCTCTCTCTACCTAACTCCACTGCCATGGCTAACCCTCATGATAACCTCTCCGATCATCAACCTCCTTCCGACGACTTCTTCGAGCAGATCCTCGGCTTATCTAACTTCTCTGCTTCTTCAAGCTCTGGTGGACTTTCTGGACTACCAGGAGGATTAAGTGGTCCCCCTCCGATGATGCTTCAGCTCGGTTCAGGGGAGGAAGGGAATCATAATCATATGGGGGGTATTGGAGGAGGAGGAGGAGAGCATTTAGGGTTTCAGAACGGGATGTTTCCGTTGGGGTTAAGCCTCGATCAAGGGAAAGGAGGAGGACATGGGTTTCTTAAACCTGATGGAAGTGGTGGGAAACGTTTTCAAGATGATGTTGTTGATAATCGATGTTCCTCCATCAAACCTGTGAGTTCTTGTCTTTCTGTCTTTGTGAGTTTCGAGAAAACAAAAAAATAAGAAAGTTAAAATCTTTAGGCTTTCAAGAAAGGTAACGTTTTGGAAAAAAAAAACTGATCTTGGTTTGGTTTAAGAGAAGCTAAATTGAAGATTTTGATGTTTAACTTTACTATCAACTTTTTAAGTTAGTATGAATGAGTGTTTTTTTATGTTTAAAACTGCTCTAATAGAGATGGTTATAGTGAAAGTTGCTTTTATTAAGCTTTTTACTTAACGTTATTGCTTTTCATTTTTTTCATGTGTGTTGGTGAAAGGTTTACCATGGGCAGCCAATGACACAGCCAGCTCCACCAATGCCGCACCAACAATCTTCAATCCGACCTAGAGTTAGGGCTAGGCGAGGTCAGGCCACTGATCCACATAGCATTGCTGAGCGGGTAAAATAGTATATTTAACATCTTCCTTGTTTTTTATTTTGCTAATGTGGTGATGTTCATTTCTAATGTTTGATCAGAGCCTTGACTATAATTTTAAGTTGAGGAGATTTGACTTTGTGTTGCTTGATAAAGACCTAACATATATACATTTTCTCTGCAACAGCTGCGTAGGGAAAGAATAGCAGAACGGATCAGGGCGTTGCAGGAGCTTGTACCTACTGTCAACAAGGTCAGTATCTTTTTCTCTCGGCTGTATATATTTTCTCTGAGTTTAGTTCTATGCCACGGAGAGAGCTTAAAAGAGAGAATTGGTATGTAGAAACTGCGGTATTCACAATCTTTGGAACTGTGGATAATAAAGATTTATATTTCTTTTGGTTTTCCATTGCAGACTGATAGGGCTGCTATGATCGATGAGATTGTCGATTATGTAAAGTTTCTCAGGCTCCAAGTTAAGGTATATAACCAGTCTGTGCATTCTTCAGTTTTGAATCTCTGGCTCTTATAGTTACTGCTACCTCACCAATCTATTCATAAACTAAGAGATCTTGACATTGTTTATCTTTAATAGTTTGTAGAGAGATTATTTAATATCCCAAGAGGGATTTGGTGGTGTAGATCATTGGTCCCCACCAGGCCACCACCACCTACTCTGTTCAACTAAAATTCTAATCTGAATAAAAGATTATAATTGTTTAATCTGGTAATAGAGAGTAATCAAAGAGCAATGATTATGTTTCTTTTGGCATTAGCCTCTTTCACTTTTTTGCATTAGCCTATGGAGAATTATCACAGTTTAGGACTATGGTGATAAAAATAATGAGAACATTGAATAATATTATGCAATGATGGTATATAAGAATACTTTTCCTTCATAAGCTTTTGTTCATTGGTCAACTATGGCAGGTCTTGAGCATGAGTCGTCTTGGTGGGGCCGGTGCTGTTGCTCCACTAGTCACTGAAATGCCATTGTCGTCATCAATTGAGGTTAGACTAAAGAGAAATAACATTGTCAATGTGTCTCTTCAAAGATAAGAGTTGAATTAAATTGAGAATGTTTTTTTATGTCGACACTGCTTCAGGATGAGAACCAAGCAGTGTGGGAGAAATGGTCAGACGATGGGACAGAGCGTCAAGTGGCTAAGCTGATGGAAGAAAACGTTGGAGCAGCGATGCAGCTTTTGCAGTCAAAGGCTCTTTGCATAATGCCAGTCTCATTGGCAATGGCGATTTACCATTCTCAGCCACCTGACACATCTTCTTCAGTCGTGAAACCTGAGATGAATCCTCCACAGTAGATCTTGCATCCAACAACAACGGTCGTCAGCTTCTTTACTCTTTTTTCCCCACTATTACCACTTTTGTGACTGATCAAACTTTGGAGATGGAATCAAAGTAGGATTTGTGCAGTAAGAAGTGAAAAAAAAAGGAGAAGGCTATCTCACTTGTTATGCCTATAGTTTTATCATTTTGATGAAAGTAACTTTAATGGGAGTTTGAAGAAGAAAGGCTTTGAGGGTAGTAAACTAGTTCCAGACCTAGTAGTAGCGTTTGTAATGAAATGTGTGGGAAGGTTACATCCATTTTCAGCCTAGCCAAAAATATTCTTGCTTTATATATTCACATATATAGTACCTATCATAGAACATAGTAATGAGAATGTCACAGCTTAATGCATGCAGAAATGCTTATTGAAACATTATATTACAAAAAGAAGACATTGTCGATCACAAAGACAAACTTAAATTTGAGAGCAAAAGATTCCTTTTTTGACACTTGATCTCCATCGTTTCGTCGTCTGTTACTCTGTTTCATGCAGTAGCCAAGAAAGCAGATTCAAAAACTGATGGATCTGATTAGTACATCCGCATTCGTCTTTGACTTGACTATCAGCTCTGCGTTAGGCCTGTCGTTATAATCAATCTGCAATCAAAACCAGTTACTTAACCTCCAAGATGAAACTTTAAAACCATATTAACTGAATTATACAGAAGTAAAGTAGAAGAGCTATAGCTTTTACCCGCCATTTAGCAACGTCCAGTGGTTTACCTATAACGAATAAAACAAAACATATGGTCACAGAAAGTCTTTGAAGAATCAAAAAGAAAACTGTGTGCATACCGGTTGAGATATGTCGGGCTTCAACACGTTGCATGGCTGTGTCGAGATTGACATCAATGAACCTTGAAATGAAGATGATAACACATTGATCAGTGAAAAAAAACAAAAACAAGAACCCACGAGTGAACGAGAGACAAGTTTGAATAGTTTTACCACTTCTCATCAAACATATTAGAGATGTCTTTCCAAGTTCCTTCTTCTAACAGCAAATAGTTTCCCTCTACAATCACCACTTTATGCCTGTGATAAAGATGTACACAAGGTAACTAGTAGTCTCGGGAAGAGGGAAACAAAACCATTTCGTGACACAAGCGACTGACTACTTACTGGAGGCTAACAAAGATATCGTCTTCAACTGGATCTCCAACTCCATGATCGAATGATGGCACATAAACTGAGCCCTGGACGACAGTTTGAAAACTTATCAGAGTCTAATGTAAGTGTCGCAACTCTTAAGATTATTAAAGGTCAATAAAATATTGTGACTAACTCTTTACCTCGTCTCTCAGCTTCTTTAAACAGTTGAGCAACAATGCAGGATTAAAAGTCCATGGAGCTAGTTGTTTTATGGATCAAAGGGGTCAAAAATACATTTTGAAAATCAGACGTTAAAATATTCAGAAAACAGATCTCACCTCCTCTTCTCGCATGGGCTTCTTTGGGATCCTAGAGAGGAAAAAATACATCTGTTTAATAAAAAAGTTCGAGTAAGAGATAGAGATAACTCCTAAAAAAATAAAATAAAGGTCAACCTCCATGGCATCAAGCTGGGAACGATACAAGTGGAAGCCATCCATAGGAAGCACAGTAGCAACATCAGGAGGCTTAACCTCAGCATCAAAAGAAGCAGCTTTCTGAGGCCACAACCTATTTATACGATGTACAAGTTCATATGCTAACGTGCTTTTCCCGGCACCAGGAGGACCCGCCAAACCAACCAAACGTCTACACGAGCCAACAAAACACACTTAAACACGAGTTATCATAGTTGGAAAGAAACAACATTCCAAGAGTGTAGATAGAACTTACTTAACATTGGGGCTGAACATTGCTGCTGATGTAGGAACAAGACGCTCCGCCAACTTATCATATATCTCATCCATACAACTTCAAAAAGAGAATTTTATTTTATTTTTTTTAAATGACACTTTGTTAGATAACAGGAAACAGAACATGAGTCATGAGCATTTGTTTTATAACAGGAAAAAAAAACAAACCCGATCACTTATGAATCGTTTTAATTACAAAACAGCTGATATAAAGAGTGTTACCTTCCATCAACGACAGTGACATCTCTCTTCTGACTACACGAAACCTGCAACGAACGATCGGTCAATTACAAGATTAAAAGCAAAAAAACAAAGAGAGTCAATATGAATCTAAAAACTCGTTAACACTACCAAATTACGAGGTGTTCTTCTTCTTGTTCTTTGTATGCTCAATTGAGCAGGAACAAGAGATTGGTCCCGTAAGTGAACTTTGACTCCTCTAAATCGAGACGATTCTGTAATATGAATCGGAAACAAAAGACTTAGTAGTAAGTCTTCTCGAAACAAAAAAAAGGCAGAGTTAGGAGTTGTGAAGTGGATGAAGAAACCTGGAACAGAGGATGAGTAACAGAATCTGGGTTGTACAGTGGAGAAAGAAGTAACATCCATCGATTATGAGTGGATCATAAACTACAACAAGAACATGAAAAATCACACAACGTTTTTTGTTTTATGAAGATCGAGCTAAGCGGTGCTCTGCTCTCGAAAGAGGATGAATACAGTTTTTTTTTAGTTTTTTTTTATTAAAAGGCCACGTCACACCTCGTACCTAACTGGGTCAACTACGAGATCAGTGGGCCAATATCTCAGACCCAATATGAAACTACGAGGCCTATCTAAGATTTTTGTCTTTGTTTACCTAATGTAATCGATGATGTGATTTTGGTTGTGTTGGTTGTGATGATAAAACTTATAATCGTATATTATTACAGTTTTTTCATGCTGTAGTTTCGCTACAACTTAAAATCTACTCACCTATAAATTTACAGTTTCAGCTATTTGAAACTTTTCCAATTGATTTTCCACAATAATAACTATAGATAGAGTCTATGTGTGGTCAGCTGTGCTTTACATCATTACATGACGACACTCTAGTATCATACATCCATCAAAATCATTACCGCTACAAAACGCAACTAACTTGTACCTAGAATCTATCACTCAAAACTTAGATGTGCATTAGATGTCAACATCATTCTCTAAACCGCCTTCTCTTCTCACATAATAGCACCCACAATGGGAAATCTTTAAAGAGAGTCTTTAGGGGAAAAAAGAAAATATCATTTTGGATTATATAAAGGTATTTTGGATTTTTTTTTTAAAAAAAATTGACTATTTGCGGGTTGCACTTAGGCCGTAAAACCGGTGAATAGTGTAAGTATTAATTCTTTTTTTTTTTTTTTGACTAAATGCTTTCAATGTAAGTAAGTATTAATTCTTAAACAAGATTTTTAAAGATATAATCTTTAACTGTTCATGAAATCCACTAATTATAAAATTAATAATTTTCTAAGGACTCTCATCAAGGAGTTCTCATTGTGGTGCTCTAACTCGGCCTATGGTGTATAATTTACGTGAGGAAATATTGAAAAGTGAGTGTAGTAACCAATGAAAATGCAAAAGTGAACTATATATAACTCTGCAAGCTAAGACGGTAATAGTTTCTTTCATAAAAAAGAAGGAGGTGTATGATAATAGTATTTTTAGAAGAAACTTTTTTTTTTATAGAAAACTGCATCGTTTGTTGTGATGTTCATTCTGCAATGAATTTTAAGAAATATATATTAATAACTTGATTCATGTTTGCCTTCAGGTACGTTGCTAATATATATTAGAATTCCCACAAACTAATATATACTAGAGTTTTATACATAAAATTTATATGTTAAGAATCTATGGTAGAGCTTCAACCATGAAACTCGTTTCACCCCAACGAAACATCAAACATAATTGGCTGAATCAACATTTATGTGTGACCCTCACATATAAACAAACGGCCCTTCGGATTTCCATGGAGCCAATTTACTTTATATACCACAAGGATCTTGAACAAGGGAAAAAAGTTTTGTTTTTTTACATGCATGCAAAAGCATAAAATTCAAAGAAGAATAAACGTGTAATATCTTTCAATGTGTGAGAGATACGTGGCTTATCTTGTTCTTGATTTGGTGGAATATTAAACAGCTTACAATTGCTTTTTCATTTCTCCGCATATACGCATAATTTCCTTGGATATTATTTCACACATAATTTAGTATTGGAATAAATTAAAAATAGACTCACATTTCAGAAATCTATGAGAAAATGAAAAAGCAAGTTGGGTCCATGTCTAATCTCTTCTTCATGTCGAATTTGTTCTCAACAATATACGTACACGTGTTCTATGTTAATTTGTAGTTTGTATCATCCCATGATAGTCTATCTGTTAGGGCTGACTATATTTTCAGTTTCTCTTTCGACATAGATGTTGATGAATCAAAACAAAATATATTTGATTAATTATTGGAAAATATATATCGATTTTTCTTGATTTTCATAACTCAAAAGTATATGGAAGTCCTCGTTATACGTACGTTAGATGATCGTACGAAGTCTAACAATCTGAAGTACAGGTACGAAGTGATGAACCAAACCCTTATTAGGGCAAAGTTCATATGATGTGATCATGTGAAAGATAGAATATTGAAACACATCAACTTGAAACGAGCATATGAATCATCTTCTTTCTATAATACGCAAAAGAAAATAAGTTTTTGGATCTTGTCATTCATATAGTGGAACGGTGAAACTATGAATTAGCTGATTACACAAAACTAAATGAAACACGTGCAATGAAGGGAAAATAATTGATTAGTTCTTTCTATGGGTGTCCGACATCAACATTAACTTAATCTTAAGACATATAATATCGAATGAATAATCAATAATGTTATGTAGTAGTCAAGCTTAGGAGCTAGGGTAAACACGTCGATGATTATTTAGTAATCATATATTGTTTAGTTCTTTTTTCTTGTCGAACGAATAATCCGAACGTACAGAGGTAAGCATCTTCCTCTCGTGATCTTTCTCCCTCATGTACGGCTTAAAAGACACTGGCTCTTTCGTGGTCGTGCTAGTATAATTCCATTTACCATGTATTGATATTCTTTCTTTTAATAATTAATATAAATTTCTTGAAAATCGAAAACGAGATAGAATATTTGTTGATTGTGGTTCTCTTTCTCAATAGCTCTCCAATGTTCTTCAACTTTTTCTATCGTTATGTCATTTCAGTAATTATATTTTTGCATTATAGTCCAAGGGAAAGTTTCTTATAAACCCTAATTTTCATTAATGTCATTAATATGTAGCTAGTGTGATAGTTACGATACCCAAATCAAATTGTACCAGACGAAGATAAATTTATAAAGAGATTGAAACCAACTCCACATATATATAACCGATTAAGAATTAACATAGATCAATATTTGGCTTCAATCTGATTCTTTTTTTTTTCTCAATGTACTGACAAATGGTTATTTGAATTTGATCTCATATCATACGGATGGATGTCTAGAGATGTGGATAGATAATGAGGTTATTTCAAAAAAAAGATAATGAAGTTTGATTAGGAAACAATCTGAACAAATAAAACAAAAGTACAAAGCATTGGTTGAAAACAATTCAGGGTTCAACGAGCAAATTAAGTAAAATGAAAGGACTTCCCAGTAATTTCCAGGAAAGTCATTTCATCTATATATACCAATGACTTTCCTTGTACTAGAGTCAACCAAATCTCACCATTACTTACACCAATACAGCTTACACGCACACAAGCACATAAAATATCAATGGAGAAGATATCAAATTTGCTAGAAGACAAGCCAGTGGTGATATTCAGCAAAACTTCATGCTGTATGAGCCACACGATCAAGTCGCTAATATCTGGCTACGGTGCGAATCCAACGGTATACGAACTAGATGAGATGTCTAATGGACCGGAGATCGAACGAGCACTGGTCGAGCTTGGATGCAAACCGACCGTGCCAGCTGTCTTTATAGGGCAACAACTCACAGGTGGTGCAAATCAGCTTATGTCTCTTCAAGTCAGGAACCAGCTAGGTTCGGTGCTAAGACGAGCTGGAGCCATATGGATTTAAGATTCCTTAATCGTAACTAAGAGCGTAATGATTTTACTTATATATTTTAGTATAGAGTGTGATCAGTGTTTGAAGCATAACATATATATATAGTAACTAGCTACAAGAATAATAAAATAAAGCGACATGATTCAGCTTCGCTGTTGTGTTTTAAATGCAATCGCGATTGCTAAGAAGTAATTACGATTGTATTTTTTTTTGAGAAAGAAGTAAGATTGTATTTGCGTAGTATAAGTATTTACATGAGTAATGTTTTCTTTATCAAAAAAATAATTATATGAGTACATTTCCAGTGGTATCGATCAGTTATTACTTTATCATGATTATTATGCCTTGTGCTTTGTTCAACTTCAATAACTAGGATGTGCAAAGGTCTCTATATTGTACGATGCATGTGATTAATTACTTCATCAGTTATCTGGTTGAATAAACTTATAACTAGGTGTTTTGCCCGCACATGCGGGCTTAATTATCTTTAAATCAATTTTAAAAAAACATCTAAATAAATGATTATTTGCATCCAAAAAATTTAACCTAAAACATTAAACTTTTTTTACATGATAAAGTTATTCACAAATTAAAATAAATCTACTTCTTCCTTTTAAGCTTAAAAATCTAGTTTATTTCCTTTCTTCTTAATTGATAAAAATATAGAAATTTATCTTTCGATTTGAAAAATTGAATCAAGAAATATACATTCAAAAATTGATCTTACAGAAAGAATAATATTAGTTTGGATGATAATAAAATATATTTAAAATTTATTTTTGTCAAATACGTATTTTCTTTCTTTTTGAATGATCTTTTATTTTATTATGATTAATTCATGTTTAAGGTTTAATTATATAAAATATAAAAAAAAATTAATTTAACGTGTGAGTCCAGAGGCGAAAATAACTTCACAAATATATATCATTATATTATATTATTATATTCTTTTAATTTGAAAATAATTACGTATTATAATTTTTTTAATTTTCTAATTTCAATTATATACAATTAAAAATTTTACTTTATGAATATTTATTTATGTGTTTTCTGTTTTTGAATTTTTTGACTAAATATATTTTTCGGATAACAACACAATATATATAGGAATTATCTTTTTTTTATTTTTAAATATATATTTAGATTATGGATAATTCTTATCATTGTTAGTAATTTAAATCATTTATTTAATCAAATATATATCGTTTTATTTTTAGTTGATTATATATTTATTCATTAAGGGTATAAACGATATTAACCACTCCAACTTTAAACGTGAAAGCTCCATTGCGAAAAATTACTTCGCAAATAATAGTATAGATATAATACAATTTGGTCGATAAGTTATAATACAGTATAATATACTACCCTAGATACTAGTTTTTAGGACATTACATACGTATATACTGTATATAGTACTGATTCATCAGACGATTTAAGTAATACAAAATCAGTAAAAACAAAACGTGATATAGTGGTTGA